ATTCTGATAGGAATGGGAATGGATTTCCAATTCCGCCCAAGCAAACAGTTGGAATCAGAATAGCCCATTCCGATTCTGATTCCAGATCCCCATTCCTACAAACCAAATGGACCCTGAGCTCTACATTTGCTATCAAAGGTTTGGGGCCTCTTTATTTCTTCCTTGGCTTAGAGGTGCATCACACTCCCAAGGGAATGCTTCTCTCTCAAAGAAAGTACATAGTTGATCTTCTTCGACGTGCTGGTATGATTGATGCTAAACTAGCCTCTACACCCATGGCGTCATCAACTAAACACAACAAGCTTGATGGTCACACTCTCTCTGATCCCTCTCTTTACCAAAGCGTTGTAGGAGTACTTCGCTATCTTATCTTTACTAGGCATGATATAGCCTTTGTAGTAAATAAAATGTGCCAATTTCTTCACTCTCCAACTGATGTTCATTGGGCAAGTGAATCGCATACTGCACTATCTCAAAGGCACTCCATCACATGGCTTGCTCCTCCAACCTTCTTCTTCCTTACGTCTTAACGCATTTTCTAATGCAGATTAGGCTTGATGCCCTGATGATCGACGCTCGTAGGGTGACTTTTGTATATATATGGGACCAAACTTGATCTCTTGGTCATCTCGCAAGCAATCTATTGTATCATGGTCTAGCACCGAATTTGAGTATATGAGCCTTGCATTAGTTGACTCTAAACTAATCTGGCTACGTTCTCTCCTACACGAGATTGGAATTTCTCCTACCTCTTTACCTGTTCTATGGTGTGATAACTTGGGTGCAACATTTCTCACTTCCAATCCAGTTTTCCATGCACGTACGAAATACATAAAAATAAATTTTCATTTCGTATGAGAACAAGTGACTCAAAAGCTTCTTGAAGTCAAGTTTATCCCCTCAAGTGATCAAATTGCTGACATTCTAACCAAGCCTCTTGGTCTTACTCAATTCTTTGCTCTTCGGTTCAAGTTAACTGTATTACCCCTAGTCAACTTGCGGGGGGCTGATAGAGATAAAGATAACGACATTGGTACTGATAGAGATAAGGATAACGACAGTGCTATAGATAAAGTCATGCACCAAAGAGTCATCAAGAACTCAAACAATCGATTATCCTAATCACTCCTTTTTCCTTATCGTGTACATACTTTGCTTCATCTTGTATTCTATTAAAAGTAAATAACTTATAGCTGTACGCATGTAACTCAAATATAAATATACAAAAGACTCTCAACTAGTGTAATCGATTACATTGTTTCCTCAACCTATTTTGTTCTTTATCACTTACCTAGGAAAGTGATACCCATCTTCTAGGTGGGTAAATAACTTTTCCACATAGGGAGAAAGTTGACAACACTTGAATGGAACAAAAATGCCCCTTTTAATAATGAATTTCAATATGACTAAAATGGTCATTGCCTTATTTACCGGAGAAATAAAAAAACATGGGTAAATGAACTTACCTAGGTATGTTTTTCCTGAGAAACATTTACCTAGGTAATTGCATTTACTCGGATAAGTAACTTAGTGAAAAGCGAACGGGGCCTGTATAACTGACACTGGCCCCAAGAAGAAGAAGGAGAAGAAGGGGGCTAATAACGGATGCCGATGCCGAATGCCGAATGATATCCCTCTCGCCGCTGGTGGCTTTTTGCGTTCATGAATGCCGGTATAGAGTGAGAGCGCCGGTGAATGCTGCTGTGCAAGGATCGGCGAAGGAGAATGAAAAAAAAAAAATGGAGGGAGGGAGTTTGAAATGAGAACAGGAGAATTCTGGTTTTTTTATGTCTTTTGTGTTGAACTGTTGATGGCTAAAGGTTCGTTAACGTTACCCTATACTCGCCTCGACGACCTGGCCATTTCTGATTGCCGGTTTCATACATCCTGTGAACCCATGGATTCACATAACGTTACCCTTTTCAATGTTTTCCAAATTCAACAGTGCAGCAAATAGTTGATATACTTACAAAACCTTCCCCTCTGACATTGTTCCGTAATATATAGGTCCCTTGTACAAGAAACCTATACATTCACCATTAACTATTCTCTCTATGTAAATAAGTACATGAAGCAATGCCAGTTGAATGTGGAATATAATTAAGACAGAAGTTAACTTGGTACCAGTTTTGTAAATCTCCATTTTATCTAAGTACAAGGCAATGACAAACTCAGTGGGAAATGTTGCAAGTTTGAGGGGGAGGGGGTGATTTCTCTTCAAAGACCAATCAAAGGGTGAGCTCTACAAATTGGAGCAGTAGTAGTTACAACAGCGTGTTGTTAGAAGCAACGATGGACTCTTTACTTTTAAATAGGACAAACAAAACCTAACTAATGTCTGGCATTAAAGACTTATACCGTCATTCCCTTTAACTTCACCGATCACCATTGGTTCATAGTTGGAATGGCAGTCCCTTAGAATCAAAATATGAATGGTCTACTCCCATAATCTGTTTTCTAATATCGAGGGAGAAAATGAAATGGCCGAGAATCCTATTCCACCGTAAATAGGAATGGAATTTCAATTCCAACCAATTAAATAATTTGAATCGGAATAACCCAATTTCATTCGGATGCCAGACCCCTATTGCTGCAAAGCAAATGGGCCGTAAATTCCTTTCATTTTATAATACATGCCTGCTACATGGGAGGAAAGGGTGATGAACTTTCTCTTTTCCTTGAAAATGGTATGTACTTCATCCTCTTGAAGTCTTGAGTAAATATTTATCTACTTTTAATCACAATAAATAGAAAGGAATTCTTAAGCCAAAATCAACATGTAAAAGATCATTGTCAATAAATGGATCAAGGATTGGGACATGACAAGATTCCACTTGTTCGGCTCTTTAATATTAATATAAAAGCTAATGCGACCAACACCCAAACCATCAGTTCACAGTTCAGAATTCAGCTTGGTCACGTGGTCCATACTAACCCAAAGATGTATATGAGCTATAGATAGTTGAGAAATTAGCTAACGAAGATAACCTCTTGCCACATGGCAATCATTTCTTTCCCTTTAAATACTGGTAAGAGTGAAGAGTGTTGACAAGATGTATAGAATGCATAGGGGCTTCAATTTCACCACGTCTCTCTTGGCTGGCAGGAATAAAAGAAAATAAGGACAATTAAATCTGTAGTCACTTTTTCAGTCTTTTGTAATCCTCATTTCTCTGGGGTAGGGGAGCATGGAAGACATAACAAATTTGATCTGTTTAAATTTTAATTTAGGAGTTCATCACTAAATATTACATTGTATAAATACTCATTTTTCCTAAAGAAAAGTCATTCGATTAAAGAGACCCCTATAATCATTATGGATGAAAAGGAGAGATATCTTAACAAGTAACCAAGCAATTACAATTGCATCAATTTGGTGTATTTTGATTGCTTCTTTTGTATCTACTTATTGTTGATCCCTGGATCTTTTATTTGAGTACTTTTGCTGACTGGTTGATCTTATCTTGTAAAGGAGAGCATGATTGATTGAATTTCAACCCTTTATAGCTTCCAAAAAAAATTACAATTGCATCAAAAGATTAAACCCCAAGAAAAGTGTCCATAATTACCTAAATATACTACTCATGCTTTTTAACTCAAATAACATCAATAGATTCAATACCTATTTCCTAGAGGCTGGAGTTCTCAATGTGTCAGTCACGCCAGCGGCACCGAACAGAATCGACCAATTATACACGTCTGTGTCTGCATTCTTTCTTCCAATTATAATTGGGTCGGTTCTGCATTTTGATACTCGGTCTAATAACTATTTTCTCAACATATACCACTACCACTACCACTGATGTTATCATATTATAATAATATCTCAACTTCACAAATAATTAGGTTTAATATCAAATTACAGACAAAAAATATAGCTGCCATTCATAATCGGGTCTTTATCGAAAACCCTACAACGTCTCGTTCCAAACTGATTCTACATATTTGTTTATACGGGTCTACCTCGACCCGGAAAAGACCCGACCCAATTAATATTAAGTGGAACTCTGGAAACCAACCCAGCTAGCAGCCTAGCACCAAGCGCCAACCTGAGCTTATCAGATCATGGCTGAGGGTTTTTATGCAAGTTACCTAATCTGAACCCCATGAATTCCATGTCCAAACACATCCCAACTGTCTATAAAAGTTTGAACCCGAAAGCACCTGCACCTGGCAGTTCCAGGTCCAGGATATCTCTTTTTAATTAACAAAACAAACCGATTAACTCGAGCCCTGAACTATTTCCATGGACCAGTTTGGACCGCCACGTGTTAAAATTGTGGAATGATTGAGTTGATTGTCCTTTTCTCTGGTAGGCGAGTTGTTTGGCCAAACCAAGTATTATAACCCTTTCCTGGCTTCCCCTGCTTTGCAACTCGCGATTGTTTAATAGGTGGAGGGCATTTCAGTAAAATCGTCGAAAACACAAGCAGATAGCCGTAAGTTCTAGTTTTTATTGAGTGTGAGGAGACAAGCGTACAGAAAGCCGTCTGAGGTCGTATCAGTGATATGATTTTTTCTCCAATTTTTTTTTTTTTTTTAGCATATTAACGCTGGTGTTCCGGCCGCATTGTCCCTTCCGCTCTCGTCTATAAAACGCCACCCCCCACAAATTGCCCAAAACCCCCTTAACGTACGCACCCCCCTCGCACACATTCTGTCTTTCTTCGGTTTGTTTCGCTCCAACTCCATGGAAGAGAGCGTTGGTGACCCATGGAGACTCTCCAACGTCTCCCTCCCCCGATTCCGGCCACCCGAAACCCCACTGGAGCCCATGGAGTTCCTCTCACGTTCTTGGAGTGTATCCGCTCTCGAGGTATCCAAGGCTTTGGCTCCTCCTTCGCTGCTTCTCAAGGCTGCGAACGGTGGAGGGGTAATTCCTGAAGATATCGTTGGGGAGACTGATGAGGCAGCGATGGTTTCAGGAAACCCATTTTCTTTTGCTTCTTCTGCAACTTCACAACTCGTGATGGAGAGGATTTTATCACAGTCGGTAAGAAACGATAACAGAACACGAGAGGTGGATGGGGAAGCTGGCGTTCCTGTATTTTTGAATCTGGGTTTTCTTCCATCATGATCCCTATCTACATTTTGTTAAGAAATTATTCTCGCTCTTTTTGATTCTGTTACTCTCTAGGTGTTTTGTTTTATTGTAACTTTGTTTTTTACTTCTTGGGTCAATGCGTGCTTTTGCTCATTTGGAGCGATTGCCTGTATGATGATGGGGCTCCATTTTGTCTGTGGTCTCTGATTATCTCATGAAACCGAGATTTCCCCCTCGAAACAATTATCTGTCGTTGTTTTCTAAGAATTTTTTTGTTCTGCTTTTTAATTATTTTATTTTTTTCGATCCTGGCTACTAGGGCTACTATTAATTTTTCACTTAGTAATTTGAGCAGTGTTTTCCCTATTCGTGCGCGGGAGGAACCTCTGCAACGGCAGAGCTGTCTCGCACGCTGAAGCTATCCTTGAAAACCAAAAAAGGGAAAAGGCAGTATATAGAAATAGAAAACATATTCTCTCTATCAAAACCTTAGAGATGGTCTTCTGGCGTAGCGAGTTCTCTTGGTTATACAAATATATAAAAATGGTGATCAGAGTAATCTTGCATGTTGTTGCCCTTATTCGTGAAAAGTTCTAATTGATTGTTGTTTGTGGGGTTTTCATTTCCTGATTACTGATTTCCTTTTATTTTTTTCCCTTCAGTACTGATTTCCTTTTATACTTGTGATGGATTATCAACTTAATATTGATGTAATGTAGATTTGAGCTGTAAGAGTCATTAATTGTTCTCTAGGTTTGATTCTGTTCTTGGTGGTTGCGGTGCAACAGGAAGTATCGCCATTGACCTCTGGAAGGCTCTCCCACAGCAGTGGGCCTTTAGCCGGCAATCAAAGCTGTGGCTCGTTAACGGACAGTCCTCCCGTCTCTCCGTCTGAAATCGACGACGTTAAGGTCTGATGTTTTCTTTTTGGCCGGATTTTATCCCCGGAAACTTCTATTCATGTGGATCTTATTATTAATTTGTGATTTGATGTTGCAATTATTATATTTCGAAGCACGAGCCTTGTGGAGTGAAGACAAAGCAACCGATGCTCAGCTTTCTCCGCGACGTCCCTCTCTCTCTCTCTCTCCCTGCCCTAGAAACCTGTAATCTTGTTACAGCGGCAGTGAGAGAACGTTTGCTTTTATCTCTTCTATCAATTGGATGGACACTTGGTGCTTTTTTATTTGTATTAACAGACGTAAAATCTAAGATTTCTCAATCGTCTTAAAAAAATATTAAGACATTTCATAGGTAGCCAAACTATCACCGTTAAGTGAAAGCTCGCCTCTGAGAGATAAGTTGAAATACGTAAATGCCCCCGTATAAACTCAGAAATGCCGACTTGGAATCTTTCTGAGAAAGTGGAAACTTGTTCGTTTCTCTTTGTTCCAGACTGAGACGTCCAAACAAAACGTCTTCAGGTTACAGGCATTCAATAAATTTGTTAATTCTTGAAGGGCATCTTGGTCTTTCGATTATTGGAGGGTGCATCAGGACTTTGAATGCAAGGAAAATAGTCAATACATCCCATCCATCCCCCCTCTCTCCCTCTCTCCCTCTCTCAAACTCTGCTCTGGTGCATCTGGCTTGCTTTCCGAATTCCGACATGGACCACTGTTCTGTTCTATACGCCTTATTGGCGTATTTTAGAAAACATGTACTTAATATGCGCTCGTCAAGTGATATTGCATGTCGTGCTACGTGGCACTTGTATCAGTTCTCGAATCAAATTCGTTTACGCGCCACTCGTTTTGTCGCTTCTCTCTCTCTCTCCCGTTTGTCTTACCTGCAGTCGGTGATACAGTCAGTGTACAGTCCGTTTCGGTGTACCTACTGTATCTCACTATTGATCTCTGGCCGACAACCTCTTCCTGCGGTATTAACCCTAGTGTTCCCCTCTATACATGCAGCTATCCCGTACGGCTAACACGAAGAAAACGCAGAACAGAGGTCCCGGTGGCGGGGGTGGCGGTGGTTGCGCAGGTCCTGGCGGTGGTGGTGGCGGTAACAAGACAGTTGGTAGGTGGTTGAAAGACAGGAGAGAGAGGAAGAAGGAGGAAACCCGAGCACACAACGCGCAGCTCCATGCAGCAGTCTCGGTTGCAGGGGTAGCTGCTGCAGTGGCTGCCATTGCCGCAGCCACGGCTGCTTCATCATCGTCAGGCAAAGACGAACAAATGTCAAAGACTGACATGGCGGTTGCATCGGCTGCAACGTTGGTTGCAGCGCAATGCGTGGAGGCTGCAGAGGCAATGGGCGCCGAGCGGGAACATCTTGCCTCCGTCGTTAGTTCGGCCGTCAATGTCCGTTCACCTGGCGACATTCTGACCTTGACAGCTGCGGCAGCAACAGGTTAGTAAATTAATCCACTCGGTGTGGGCATTTCTGTAATCTTAAGGAAGCAAACAATCTTTAGGAATAAGAGGATCGACAAAGGACTTGGAGTTGACGAAATTCAACTTAGACATTGACCCCATGATATTATTATTAATGCGGGTGATTGGTGGATGCAGCTCTACGCGGGGTCGCTACGTTGAAAGCGAGAGCATTGAAGGATGTTTGGAATATAGCTGCAGTAATACCGGTTGAGAAAGGTATGGGTTTAGGTGGTAATAATCACAATAATGCCCACTCTAACCACAGCGGTGAGCTTGTCACCGAGGAGAATTTCCTCGGTATCTGCAGTCAAGAGTTCCTCGCAAGGGGTTGCGAACTCCTCAAGCGTACCCGTAAAGGTGATTCTTTCATTTACTTTTGACTTATCTAATTTGATCAATGATCTATTTTTTATTTTATTTTCACAAAGAAATTATGTGGTAGACTGCAGATTTCATTGGCGTTAAAGAAATTGTTGTTTGTTGGTTGGATGTTTCAGGTGATCTGCATTTGAAAATCGTCTCTGTTTATATCCATAGGACGGGAGTGGTGGGTTTTCTGCTATGATTCTATAATTTCAATTTCTTGATTTCGTTTTTTTAATGGTTCATGAATAAAAAATCTCTTTTTTTTTTGTTAGAATTTGAAAGAAATTTTGCAATGGGTGCCAATGATGGGGACACAATGAACCAGGGAATTTAAACTGAAATGAAACATAATTGAAAAGTCTGACAACTGAAGTATAGTTTATCAATTATCACATCGGGGGCGTGGAAGCTATAAAAAAGTTCTCACATTCCATTCCATCTTATTACAGGTAATGCTGAAGATGAAGAGCAGGCATGTAGCAGGGACCATCACCAAAAAGAAAAAGAGTAAGTCCTTCTAGCCTGTTATTCTTTCGTCACAGTTCACGGTCTTCTCTTACCCTTATCGGGATCAGAGAAAGGGGATCAATTGCAGTAAAAGTGAAAAAGAAAAGTAAAAGAATAGGGTGTTCATCTTTTTTACTTTTCTCTTTTTTCCAAGTTTAGTTTAGTTTTGAATCAATCGACGTCTGTTTGGGGGTACAGATGTAGTTTTGGAGGTTTGCAAGGACATTCCGGCATGGCCTGGGCGTCATTTGCTGGAGGGCGGTGAGCAGCGACGTTACTTTGGGCTGAAAACTGCTTTGCGTGGTGTAGTAGAGTTTGAGTGCAGGAATCAAAGGGAGTACGAAGTCTGGACTGAGGGTGTGTCCAGGCTCCTCACCATCGTTGCCGAACGGAACAATAGACATAAACCAAATGTGTGATTATATTAACAGAGAAATGGAGATTTTGAGATTCATATTGGTGGGTCTGCCTGTTTATTTTGTTTCTTTTGTCCTACTGTAAAGAAAAGAGGTGTGGGGTGGTGGGAGGAATATTTTCTTTGCACTGGGAATATTTTGGGGATGTCTGTATTTAAAGTAAAGTGAAAGGGGTTTGGATCCAGCAGCAGCAGCATCGATCCAAAAGACCAAATGTGTTCAAGCTCTCAATTTCAACCATATTTTGGGAAGAAAAGATGGAATCTTGGACTATTAGCGGTCAAAAAGTGGGAAGGGATGGGAACAAATCCGCCTTTACATAGTGACTGGTGTAGCACTAGGTAAAGCAAAATGTTGGTTATATGCCTTGTTTATGTGCTATGTAAATTCATTTCCATCTCTCTCTCTGTCTCTGTCTCTCTCTCTCGTTTGGTTTCGTTTAAAAACAATTAACAGTGGTAACTTAAAAATGGCGTTTGTTTGAGATTGGGATGGACTGGTTAGCTAAAGTTCTGAAGTTAATATCCTAATTGTATTTTGATGGGGATCTTGTGAGCTGCAAAACTAAAGGTAAATATTTTGTTGATCATTCTATTAAATCCAAGAGAATGATCTAAAAAGGCTGATCCGGAGGTGCAGATATCGACATGACCCAAGTAATTGGTGGAAGAGGTCAGCTGGTGGTATAAGTATTTGTGTGCATGTACGTAGAACAATCCATGCGTGGGTACTGTTGGGATTTACTCCAGTTGCACGTGGGACCGATAAATGATATGGTCACAAATCACAATGGATGACAGGATGAATCACCTACCAATTCGATCATCACGTTGAAATGATCAATACATCTACCAGTGATGCCCTACATGCTCGTGTTTATTTTCAAATTTTAATTTTTAAAGGATGTTTTATTGCGTTGATTATAAATGGGTGGGTTCACACGATCTTTAAGTTTTAAGCTTAAAATAAATTGAAAAAATATTACAAAATAATAATGAATAAAATATTTATTTGTCAATTGTCGTATATGTCAAGTAATAGAGTATAGTCAGTATACATTGTATAGAATATGAATTTGTTTAATAGGAAAAATAAATTTTATTAGCAAAATCTGGTAATAAAAATAATGGAAATTGTTCAATGTTTAGAAAAATCATCATAATATTTTATCTTTAAATATCAAAATTTATTAAAAATAACTTAAAACCAAAGAAATGATTTATAAATAAAATCAAAAGAAAAATAACAATGACTAAATCTAACAAAACATTATATTTCTGATCATTAGCTCCGAGTAAGATTGATTTACATCATTCTAGCATGGAAATATTGGTTGCATTAGCCATAGATACTATGTGTGGATATAACAGGAAAAACGAAATTACTACTTATATTTAAACAGAAATTGCAAAACCATTGTAGTAAGACTACTAAGATAGGTAAGAGAATGGTGCAAAGAATGTTGCAGCCAAAACATGCAAGCAACACAATATTTGATTTATATAATCTGGCATCCCTTTATAATGCATGATGCTGTATGTCGATGATGGGTTGTATAATCTGTGTGGGACTTGCCAAGTATTATGTTCAGTAAATTCATCTATCCAATGAAACGAATTTAGGTGATTCTCAATTTTTGGCATTGGAAGAAGCATAGACCATAATTGTTGTTGGTTCTTTCCGTGACTTGTTTTATCAAACCCTTGCTGCATAAGCACATAGGTGTATGATGTTTGGCTATTCCTATATCAATTTGATGCACCATACGTCTATAATTAAGTTCAAATGTTAAGAAACACTACTAATGCATTAACCATAGTATCTACAATTAAAATTAAAATAAAAAAAAAACTCAATGTTCTAATTTGTGTTACTCCACATCCTATCTACTATTCTGTCTCTAAGACTAACTATTTGTATCTAAGCTTGTTTATTCTCCTTATTGGAAATACTCTTATTAGCTTCACTTCCCTCTTTATTTGTTATATTTTCCCTTGCGTATCTTTCAATGTCTTTATAATGAATAGCCTCTCTATTAATAAAATTAGATGTGATGAAGTATGATGTTATGATATGTGGTTGCATCTGTAGATTCAAAGATGGTACAAAATAGGAAATTTTCTATTCAAGATCCCAAAACATCTCTTTATAACATTTCTTAGCAATAAGTTCTTATAACTAAATACTAATTTCTTTGATCGAAATTTTCTTTGTTATCCTCTAATGTCATTTAAATGATATTATTCTCTAGAATAAGGTGTTAGATATCCAGACCCACCAGAAAACCCAAAATTCCTAGGATAATACTTTTTTACAGAAATCATGTACAATCATGTATATTATCTATGTTTAAATATACTTTTGGAGAAATTGGAAATTTTGAATTTATTACCTGTGGGAGGATGTAGAAATTTTAAATGTGAATAAAAAAATAACTACTGCAAGCACCCTAAAGTCATGGGTAGATCCTTACTAACCCATATAAATGAAAGCAAATTGTATGTTGAACAAGCATATTACCAATACATTCACAGTGCAACACAATTTCTCCGTATATGGAATTTACTCGTTTAGCTTAACGCATATACTTATATGTGTAACATCCATTGCCCCTATACAATCCTATGTGAATATATACCTGATCAATGTACGAATGAAACATGGAATATATGGATATAAATACACAAATGAAACACCTGAACCCATGAAAAATATTTTTTTTTTATTGTTTAATATGTGATTTTACCTCGTTAGAATGATGGTAACTTCATAAAATTTTGGGAACAAACTTGGGTGGGGAGAGCCTCTCTAAAGGATCAGTTTCCATCTTTGTATGCTCTTTCTGATTTGAAAAATGAGCCAATCTCATCTTTCACCACCCCGTCCTCTTCCACTTCTGGGATTAGGTGGAACTTGGGTCTAAGAAGGGATTTGAGGGACTTAGACTTCGACTGTATTTCGAGCCTTCTTGCACTTCTTGATAACGTTGTCTTAGACCCCACTAGGGCGGATTCTAGAATTTGGACACCTACCCCCAATGGCTTTTTCTCTTGTGCTTCGTTCTTCAAAGTCTTAAGTCAGTCCACCAATCCTATCTTGTCCCCTTTTCCTATTGGTGAGGTTTAGTGCAGAGCTATACCTTCTAGGGTTGATAGTTTTTGTTGGGAAGCCTATTTGGAAGAATCAACACTGGTGATCTACTCCAAAAGAAGAAACCCAATACTTGCTTGTTACCTCAGTGGTGTGTTCTGTGTAAAGCAGATGGACTGGTTTTCACCTAATGGTGTCTTGTCACTTCACGAGGTCATTGTGGGATTGAGCTTTCTTCTTATTTGGATGCAGCTTGAGTCCCCCATCAGACATGCAGGGCCTTTTCTCACCTTCTTTTTTTAGGTGGCGGTTAAAAAGGGGAAGGACAATGTGGAGAGGACTAAGGGTTGTAGTATGTTGGACACTGTGGGAAGAAAGAAACTCTAGGATATTCTCAGAAACTCAGAGAGGA